TCTCTCTCTCTCTCTCTCTCTCTCTCTCTCTCTCTCTCTCTCTCTCTGTTTAATATTTCTTAATATTAAAATACAGCAGAAGCTCATCCTTTGACTTCTCGAAATCATTGGCTGAATTGCAACTCTGCAACTTTTTAAACCTAGGGAGAAGAACCTGATGAAGACGATGCCTATCAGGTCTTGTCAACATTAAAGCGAATTACTGCTTTTCACAAGTAAGTACAGCAACAGAGTGTCCATCTTTTGATGGTATTAGTTTTGTTTCTTTGGAGGCTTTATGAATCATTTTATTGTACATACATTTTTTTAAAAAAGGTCCACTCACTTTTGTTTTGTTTCAACTTCTTCTGCTATGCCTTGCTAGGATCGCTCTCCTCATTCTGCCTTTATTGAGTACTGATAGTGATATTAGATAGTGAAAAAATGATACCAGGACACTACTATGCATTCTATGCAGTTAGATTATTTAGTCAGAATAACAGACATGTTTATACATGCATCTCTGTGGCAAGATAAATAGTCTAATGGTTAAAGGGATGGCCTAGGAACCAGGAAGACTGGGAGTTCTAGTCCTGCCTTAGGCATGAAAGCCAGCTGGGTGACTTTGGGCCTATCACCAGGAGACCATGAGTTCTAGTCTCGCCCTAGGCACGAAAGCCAGCTGGGTGACTTTTGGCCTATTGCCAGGAGGTGGCGAGTTCTAGTCCTGCCTATGGCACGAAAGCCAGCTGGGTGACTTTGGGCCAGTCCCACTGTTTCAGACCAGCTCTGTAGGGTTGTTCGTTTTGGGGAAAATAGGAGGAAGGAGTATTAGGTATGTTGAATTATAAACAACAATAGAGCCGGGATGAAAATCAAATAAATAAATGGCCAAAGCTTTGCATCTCCATGGATTGGGGCTTTGTGCTTACATGGCAATTCTTTTGATAGGAGCGTGTAGCAGAACCCACTTACAAAGGGAAGTCATTCAGTTGTTCGATGACCACAGTCCCTGCTTGTTCTATCAGCTCAGTGTAGTGTGAGAAGAAACAATGAATCAAAGGCCTTCATGCTTCTTCTTTTTTTTTTTAATTTCCAGTGCACACGATCTGTCAAGGTGGGACTTGTTTAGTTGTAACTACAAGTTACTAAAAACAGGCATTGAGAATGGAGATATGCCCGAACAGGTTAGTATTTATTTTTTTTAAAAAATTGGTCCCTTTAAAAGGACAATATAAAATAATAGAGCAAGCTGAGAGCGATCATGCCTTTTACTCCCAAACTTTTCCTTTCTTTCTTTCTTTCTTTTCGAAACACAGATAGTTATTCACGCACTGCAGTGTACTCACTATGTAATCCTTTGGCAGCTAGCAAAAGTAGCCGAGAGCAGTTCTACCAAGGTAAGTGCTGGCAGCACCGGGAAAAACTTCAGTCCATATGGGAATGGAGTGCAGGTAATCCTCGACTTACGACCACAAGGGAGCCCAACGTGTCTGTGGCCAAGCAAGATGGTGGTTAAGTGTGCTTTGCCCCATTTGACGACGATTTTTGCCACAGGTATTAAGTGACTCACTGCAGTTGTTAAGTTAGGAACACACGGTTGTTCAGTGAATCTGGCTTCCCCCATTGGCTTTGCTTGCCAGAAGGTCCTCGGGACACTGCAACTGTCATAAATTCATGCCAGTTGCCAACTGTCCAAATTTTGATCACCTGACCGCAGGGATGCTGCAATGGTTTGTAAGCGTGAAAATAACACTCTTTTTCCTATATAACTTCAAATTGTCACTAAGCAAATGGTTGTAAGTTGAGGGCTACCTATACATTATACAGAACTTTTAGGATTCCTTATTGGGAAGTTGACCAATATCCTTAAATCCTGTCTTTGAGTGTGCATGTGTGTGTGTGTGCACGCGCGTGCACGTGCGCACACACACATGCAGCTATACCTATATTGGGCTGTTGTGGTTAGCCGGGAGCAGGTGTGGATGGCTGAGGAGAACGAGGATTCAGATGAGGGGCCAGGACCATTAGGGAGTGGACTGCTGCCTTCAGAGATTGTGGGGGCTGGAAGCAGCAATGAGGAGGTTCCCGAGGAGCCTGTGCCAAGTGCACATGTGCGCAGGGCTGCTCTCAGGAAAGAGCAGCTGCAGCAGCACGGGTGACTCGGGAGTAAGGCTGCAAGGTAATGGCCCCTCCTTCAAGAAGATAAAAGCAAACTGAAGCAGACGTTCTTTGTAGGAAGCAAAGATGTTTTGAAACTCGAGCCTCATGGACATTGCAGTATCTTAAGTTGGTTTTTGAAGACTCTTGTGTTGTAAAATATCTCTAGGTAGCCTTATCTGTTATTCTTGGCAGCCTCGCACAGTTTTGGCGAGGCTTGTGCTTATCAAAGTTAATTAGTTTGCAACATCCTTTTAATCAGGGATTCCTAAGAATCATTAAAAGGTTTCTGTTCCCTTTGGTTTGTGTTGGTTTTATTAGAAACAGTTTGGGTCAGAACATGGGGTAAAAACTCCATTTGAAGTACACTCAGGGTAAAAATAGCTGACCTTGGAGTAATATGAGAGTTATTTCCTCTTTGCAATATGAAGAGGGGTAGAAAGAAGAAGGTAGGATCTTATTTCTGATTTGCAGAGGTAGATCGAACAACCTGAATTATTACGGGAAGCTTTACATTACTGTTCCCCTCCATAGAAAAAGTTCTTCCATTTCTTTAAGGAAAAAAAATGCTCACTTCTATTCATCATGCAAGTTTGATTCAAAATAAACACGCTCACTGTTTAATATTCTTTCATTTCTCAGGACGACCTTCTACGCTTAAAGAAAGAGATGAGAGTTTTTTGTCAAATCTGTCAGCACTACCTTACCAATGTAAATACTGCTGTTAAAGAACAGGTTAGTCACAGATTAATATCTGACCGTTAGACACTTTTAATGCAGAAATAATTTTTCATCTGCACTAACAGTTGTGTATAGGAAAGTGTAGCGTTATTTGTGTGCCCTGGTTAATAAAACAGACCTGAAAGCCTTTGCTTTATTTCATTTTTTGCCCTTCCAACTGTATTGAAACAGGAGAGGTCTGTATACTTTTTGAAAGGGCAAAATCTAAGAAGGTGCCAAGTCATATATTTGTATAAAAGATAGTATACTTTCATTACTAGCAAGTCAGTACAGCTAAGGTAAAAGTACGCAGTAAATACAAGAAAAGATAATGCTGTAAGAAGTAATAATAAATCTGTTCCAAATAATAACTTTGAATCGACTTCTATTCAACGAGACAGTTTTGTATTGAGACAGTACTTTAAAAAATGTAGTTAGGTATGTTAACACAATTTTCTAAGTGTCTATGGAGGTTCTCAGTCCTCCAGGTCATGGTTGTCCCAAAGGTGCTTTTTTTCAAGAGGCAACTGGGCTTCCTGGTTTTTCTATGAAGACGTTTTGCTTCTCATCCTTCTTCAGAGCTGAAGAAGCTTCTCGGAGAAGCATCTTCAAAGAAAAACCAGGAAGTCCACTTGCCTCTTGAAAAAGCACCTTTGGGATAATTTTGCATGGGAGTGGTTCTCAATCTTTTCTTCACCCTGGACCCCCAAGACTTAATACAAAGTTTAAACCATAGCATTTCTTCAAGCCTTTGCAGACCTTCTGTGATGTTAACAACGCCTGTCATTCCTTCCCTTGCAGGCCTTCACTATTTTGTGTGACGTGTTAATGATCTTCAGCCATCAGATCATGTCAGGAGCACGTGACATGTTAGAGCCATTAGTTTACTCTCCTGATTCTTCCTTACAGTCCGAACTCCTGAGTTTTATTCTTGATCATGTCTTCATCGACCAGGACGAGGATAGCAACAGTGCAGGTATGAGGCTGCAGAAATGTGTCTCTGGAATTTCTTTTTGGTAGCAACAGGTTCTCACTTCTCTTTTTCTCCCTGAATTGTAGTATATATATATATATATATTTTTACTTAGCCAGACACGGAGGTTACAACAGGAATTGCAGGGTTAGATCTTGGTCTCCACAGAGTACTTACTTAGTTGGTCTCCAAAGGAAGTTGTTCAGTTAGAAAAGAGTAGGACTTTAGTCCTGTCTGCTTTGAGGTGTAGAGATACAACCCGCTCAGCCTTACTTGTCCTGCTGAAGTCTCTCTCCCCCACTTCCTCCCTACCCTTGAGAAGGTCTGGAATGATGTATTTCTCATACGCAAAGCTAAGAGCCCTTGAGCTCTGTTTTCATCTTATCTTGGGTCACTTTGCTCTTGAAGCTATAGTTATTTTTTTCTGATGTGTTGGAGTCCTTAGTGTGCTCTGAATTTTTATATTGCATGTTTGATGAGCTGTTGTCTGAACTTCCTTAAAATTCCATCGCTCAGGTGATTTTAAAAACTGACCAGAGATCTGAAAACAAGTTTAAAACTTAACCAGCTACTCTAAGAATTTAGGTTATCTTTTTAAAGGCTTTGTTAATTTTGGAACTCAGAAACAAAAAGGCTTTTTTGAGTAGTTCATTTGAAAGTAATACTAATGGGGACTATACCACTTTAAATCTTCCAGTCTATTTTTGGTAGTTAACAAAACATCGGATTCTTTTCTTGCTATGAACTGTTACCTGGTTAGAATACTGCAGGGCAAAACCAGGTTATAAAGATGCAGTTGATACTGCAATCATATCTAAATGCCTGTTCCTGAATGAATGCTCATGTACATTATTTTTTTCTTTCGTTAAAGATGGACAGCAGGATGATGAAGCCAGTAAGATAGAAGCTTTGCACAAAAGAAGAAATTTGCTTGCAGCTTTTTGTAAACTTATTGTATATACCGTGGTGGAAATGAACACTGCTGCAGATATTTTTAAGCAATATATGAAGGTAATGAAAGCCTACTGGGAAGGGGATCTGAGGTTCTCATATAGAAATACGGAATGAATGTGGTTGTATTAAATCTCTGGAGGCTTCTTTCTTCATTATTAAGGGAGTCCTTCTGGATAACTCTTGTTGCCTTGGCTAAAAGCAGAAAATAAATAAACATATTTAAAGCAAGTTACCGTGTAATTCCTTCAGTTTGAAATGAAACTACTTTTAGTTCTGCTCTTTGTCTCCAACACTTTTTCATGTTACTCACAAAGGAATATTTTTATTCTAATTGAAGTTGAAACTACCTGTATTTTTATCCTGATAGTATTACAACGACTACGGAGATATCATCAAAGAAACAATGAGTAAAACGAGGCAAATAGACAAAATTCAGTGTGCAAAGACATTGATTCTCAGTTTACAACAGGTATGTTTTTGCTATTCCACATACCCATACCGGTTATTGGTTAAAGACAAGTCTTATTTTAAAAAAAAACTAAAAAGAGTCAATATTACCACTATATGTAATTCTGTTGGGCAAGTTTTATTAACAGTGATAAAAATAATCCAAAATGCATAGAAAGACCTCTAGTATAATTAAAATAGTATTCTGCATGTTAGGCAAGTTTCAATTGTTTAAAAAGTGTAGAATTTCTGAAGCAGTGAGGTTACATCTAATGAAATAAGAAATTCTTCACACATTTGAACAATTCAGTGTCCAGTTGAGCTGTTCAAACATGTGAAGAATCTCTTAATTATTTTTAAACAATTTCAAATTGTTTAAAAAGTGTAGAATTTCTGAAGAAGGAGATTACTTCTAATGAAATAATTAAAAGATTCTTCACACGTTTGAACAGCTCAATTGGACATAAACTTTTATTTTGGGATCTTAGGTACCACTGTAAAGCAGGGTGACATGTCACACCCCAAATTATCCTAAAGAATGGGGGAACAAGATGATTCACTCATAAAGTTTTCTATTCCAATCCTACCTCTTGTGAGAGAGTAGTAGACAGACCACACATGGAGAATTTTTGTATTTGGGTGAACCAGAAAAACGACATTCAGACATTTCATTGATTTCTTGTCATTAAGTGCAGGAGATCAGCTTGTAGAGGATTCAGTAAACTTTATAGTTGTGCTTTTACAAAGTAGTCTTTAAACCTATTTTCATTCCTGCATATTTGCTGAAATGTAAGCCAAATATAATATTGAAAGGTTTAAATAAAGTGTTGTTTGAAGCCCAGTTTTTTTGTAGGGGTTTAATAATGTTAGGAGAGAGAGAAAGAAAGAGTGCATTAAAATACTCCTGAAACAGTGCTGTTAAGTAACACACAAGTTGTATTATGATTGGGGAAAACATGTTTTGTTTACACAGCTTTTCAATGAGATGATCCAAGAAAATGGGTATAATTTTGATAGATCATCGCCGTCTTTCAGTGGGATTAAGGAACTGGCTCGGCGTTTCGCTTTAACGTTTGGACTCGATCAGCTGAAAACAAGAGAAGCCATTGCTATGTTACACAAGTAATTATTGACTTTTTATTTACTTTGCAAAGACTTTCCCTCCATTATGCTTTTCCTTTTCACCATCAGATGAAAAAAGCCCACCCCCCAAATAAGCATAATTGATAAGACATGAAATAAATAAGATAGTTAAATATAATGTAAATATATTTACACTTACAACTGTTCACCATACTTGATGCTGTAGTCAGAACGGGAAGAGGAGAAAACATTGGTAATAAATATTAAAGAAATAAGTGGTTGCCATCAGATAGGGACATAGATGTTGGTTTTTTGTTGTGACTTTGTCCTGATATGATTTTACTAGGTTTCTTTGCTGTTCTATTAACCGACATTAAGCCTTTATATAGTGTTTTTAGTAAGATCAAGTCCGTTCTAGATTACTGGCCATATGCACTATTCCTGCTAATAACGAGGATAGTTCCAGACACATTTTGCATGCAAACTCAACCAGCACCCTTGGTTATACCTCCTGTTAATCTACACAAACTAGAATAATAAATTAGAGAAAAACAAATTCGAACCACCGTATCTGTCAGAATATATTGGGTTTATATGCAAAAATGTATAGGAAACTGCTGGTTTCAGGTAGTTTGTGTCTAAAACCAAAATTCAGGGGCTGTGGTTAGAAGTAACGATTATTCTGTTTGGAACGAGATTTCAGCAACTGGCTAAGAATGGAAAAAGCCAAGGAAACAGCAGTGATTTCTGAGCAGGGGAAGTTGGCCCCCAGGGGAGTTGGTGGGATGTGCCACGCTGGGAGCTGCTTAGGAGGTGACAAACTCGCTCTGGGTTCCTGCTGAGTTTTATTTCCACTGAACCACAACTCAGCTGGTCTGGTTTGGCACGATTTCCAGAATGTGATGCATTTGGGGTTTGAGCAAAACACTTTTTTTTAAAACTTCATACACATCTCTGAGATTTAAATTCGTCATCCATTCAAATCCTGAATCCTTTTTGGCTATGACTAAATCTGGCTTTGACCCCAAATAAATTTCTCACTTGTGAGAGGCATATAATTTACTCCGTGTGTCTTAAATATAGCAGCACTGATTGAAATGTAATACCGTTCTTTTGAAATATTCAGGGTTTGATGTCGAGCTCTTTTGTGTCAGGAAAGCACAATAAAAATACTCTTAGCGATGCTCACTTGAATTATTATTTTTTTCCAGAGATGGGATAGAGTTTGCTTTTAAAGAGCCTAACCCACAAGGAGAAAGCCATCCACCTTTAAATTTGGCATTTCTTGATATATTGAGCGAATTCTCTTCCAAACTTCTCAGGCAAGACAAAAAAACAGTGTAAGTACTTTATGGTTATTTTCACATTGTTTTAGAAGTTTAGTCAAGAGGTTTTTAATTTTCAGTGAAACTGGTCTTAAAACAAGTTGGGCAACTCCTTGCTGATTTTCAGGATACGGAAAAACAAAAATTTCTACGAAGAACGGGGAGGAAGAAGAAATACTTCCTCTGGTTCATTCCAGTTGTAAAAGTCTATCTAACCGTGTTCCAGGTTTTCCAAGCTTTTTGTAATTATTTTTTAGTAGAGGAGAAATAAAAAAAGATTAGTTGACACATGTCATTTATGGTGACAAAAATATATTGTCAGAAAATCGGTGACCATATAGATAACCCATTATCTCTTCCATATTATAATTTTGAACAGCAGCAGTAGCTATCTTTAATAATTCATTCATGAACTTAAAAGACGATCCAGGAAGTATTTCTAGTAATCCCTTGCTTCTCCTTTCCTTTTGAAGGTACGCTTATCTGGAGAAGTTCATGACCTTTCAGATGTCTCTTCGAAGAGAAGATGTGTGGCTCCCACTCATGTCTTACAGGAATTCTTTGCTAGCTGGGGGTGATGACGACACAATGTCAGTCATCAGTGGGATTAGTAATAGAGGGTCGACAGTAAGGAACAAGAAGACAAAACCAGCTACAGGGAAGCGGAAACTCCCTGAAGGTTTGCAGTTACTTATTGTGGTTTCCTTGGTGTATAAGAGTCTATACAGGTAATGCTCCACTTACAACCATTCATTTAGTGGCCATTCAAAGTTACAACAGCACTGGAAAAAAGTGGCTTATGACCGGTTTTCACACTTACATTCCATCTTCAGGATCGCATGATCAAAATTCAGACACTTGGTAACTGACATATATTTTATGACAGTTGCACTGTCCGATGGTCACATGATCACCTTTTATAACCTCCCCAGCCGGCTTCTGGCAGGGAAAGTCAATTGGGGAAGCCAGAGTTACTTAATAACCATATGATTCACTTAACAACTGCAGGGATCCGCTTAACACTTGTGGGGAAAAAAAGTTTGTAAAATGAGACACAGCTGACTTAGTTAGCCACCTTGCTTGGCAGTGGGAATTTGGGGCCCAATCATGGTTGCAAGTAGAGGACTACCTGTATTTATATCCCCCACATTGTTCCAAATCAAGAGCCTTCTTGGTTTGTTTCCCATCAGAATGGTGCTTTCTGGTTTGCATTTGTATTAGGAGAACTTAAGATTAACGCTAACCAAGATTACCTCCCAATTATAATCAGACAGATGTTGTAGACCATGCTTTGTAAGCAATGGTACTCACAGCTTATTTGAACGCTAGTGTCATGAACCCAACTAACAAACCCAAGCAAATCAGAACTCTGAGGCTAAGGTCCTCCTCTAACAATTTCTTTATTGAGTATATCATATTGGCATAATTAAATGGAAAACCAACTTTAAATGTTTCCCGCAGTTTCAATATAATTAAAATAGGAAATAACTCCCTCCCCAAAAGTTACAGGTCACGTTGTCCAATTAGGTTAATTGTTGGGCTCTCCAGGCACTCCTCCCCATCCCTATCCACCACCTGTAGAGATGACCTTGGTTCTGAGGAGAAAATTCTGTGTTTTGTCTAGCAACTCATTTCATCCTCCTTCCCCTTCCCCACTGTGTGTGGCAGCTGAGGAATAGAAAAAATGGCTTCTGCTAAGTTCCATTCAAAGTTGGCAGCTAGGCTAACACTGCTGATGATACCTACCATGTTTTCCCAAAAATAAGACCTTATCTTTTTTTTTTTTAAAACACCAAAAAGCACCAGGTCTTTTTTTTGGGGGGGGGGGAGGGGTCATCCACTGGCTCATCTCATTTGCATGTGTTGCCCCCGGCCTCCCTTTTTGCTGTCAAGAGGCCTTCAGGAACTTCTTTGGCCAGCGAGGCTTTCCTGAATGCCTCTGCAGCCAATAAGAGAGCTCCGAATCAATCCGAAGCTCTTATTGGCTACAGAGGCCTTCAGCCTTGCTGGCTGCAGAAAAAATGAGTCGAGGTGCGCGAGGCCTGGCTGCAACTGTCTTCCCCCACCCAATCTTAATTTTTACCCATGCACCCTGGAGTGGGTGGGATCTTAAGGCTTATTTTGGGGGTAGGGCTTATGTTGGATGCATGCGTAAAAATCAAGCTAGGGCTTACTTTCGGAATAGGTCACATTTTTGGGAAAACTTGATAGTCTGGCAATAAAATGTCTGCAAGAAAGCCACCAAGCTCCAGAGAGCACCAAGGACCCCCCCACAGATGACAGATACTGTCCGAGGAGCACATGGATTCTGAATTGATGCAGGGCTGCTGCTTTGTTTTTGCAGCCGAGGAGAGCAGCAGCAGCGACAGCCTGTGGCTGAACAGGGAGCAGACCCTGCACACGCCCATCATGTTACAGACGCCGCAGCTCACTTCCACCATCATGAGGGAGCCCAAAAGGTTGCGACCGGAAGAGAACTACATGGGCGTCTACCCCATGCAACCCGAGCACCATCAGCCACCCATCGACTACAAGTACATGCTTGCTTTTAATTGGGCCATACCCGCTGCTCGAATACTGCACCGCTTTTAATTGGGCCATACCCCCTACTTGAATACCACACCGGTTCCCTCTTTTGTAAAGAAAGGTGTTATTCCTTCCAGTACACAGGTAACATGGATGCTGGCTCAAAGGCAGCAGGAGGAAGCAGCCAGGCAACAGCAGGAGAGGGCAGCTATGAACTACGTGAAGCTGAGAACCAACCTGCAGCACGCCATGTGAGTACACAATGGCCGTTGTCCCAAGCCAGGCCCTGGCTTTGCGCACTTGCGCACCGGTAGTGAGAAATCAGGTTGCAGCAATTTTATGCAAGTCTTCTTAGGATAGCAGCATTAAACTTTCCCCTCAAAGATAACTTTTCTGGATAAAAAGTAGAGCTGTGTTATATTGATGCTTCAGACAAACATCACCAAATATGGTTACCAAGAAAAAGAGAAATGATTTTTTTTGAGTTAAGCCCCCTGCTCTCTAATAAGTATCGAGTGATACTGAAGATTATTTAACTAACACGGAAAATAAGCTATTCAGATATTGGAGTCTAGAACATTTGAGAGTTCAAGGAGGTCTTAAGGCTCTTTCTCCTGATTTTTATCAGAAGGGTTTTGAGCTTGAAACATTGGAGGAGGGCAAAACAGCCTGCTCGAAATCATCAAGCGAAGGAGTGTTTTTAAACCCTCATGTGAAAAGTGGGGCTGAGCCTCCTCACAAAGGCTAACGCTGTTTCCATGATAAGATCATTCTAGACGGGGTTGGCAGTTTTTATGCTGAAAGAACCGCTCGGTGTTGCGTGACTGAGTGACATTCATATCCGTGTTGAAATGTTCTTTAGTCGACGTGGCACTAGTCTCATAGAGGACGACGAAGAGCCCATCGTTGAAGATGTGATGATGTCATCAGAAGGGCGCATTGAGGATCTCAATGAAGGCATGGACTTTGACACCATGGACATAGACCTAGTAAGCGTTAGTTACTTGTACCTTGTTGCTTTAAAAAAAAATCACACACAAACAAACCATTCTCCTTTCTTTAGAACAGGGATCTCCAAACTTGGTAACTGAGACGTGTGGACTTCAACTCCAAGAAATCCACACATCTTTTTTTTATATATATATTTTATTTTTAAAAAACAAAAATACAAATCTCTATTCACATTAACAGTGTTCGTGTCGTTATTAATACATACCTCTCCTTTTATACGTAAACATCAACTCTTATTTCTATCCTCCACCCATTTGTACCACATATCCCAAATCGCATAATCATCTTTGCCTCTTAATTCTATTGTGAATTTATCCAGTTCTGCACAATCCGTTATTTTTGGTGTCAAGTCTTCTTCAGATGGTATCTTTTCCTTCTTCCATCCCTGTGTGAAGGCTATTCTCACCGCAGTTATGATATGTATAATGATGATGTATCGGATGACCTTGCTCAATTTTCCCTTAATTGTTCCTAATAAGAATGTTTCCGGTTCAAGTTCTAATTTGTGATCTGTAATTTCTAATAACCATCTTTGTACCCTTATCCAATATTTTTTAACCTCTGGACACTGCCACCACATATTGAAGAACATTCCTTCTTTGTGTTTACATTTCCAACATTCTGCTTTTGTGTTTGGATACATTTTGGCCAGTCTTGCTTGGGGCTAAGTGCCACCTACAAAACATTTTATATTGATTTTCTTTAAATGCTGTTGACAATGTCAATTTATAGTTATCAATTCACATTTTTCCCAATCCTCTAAATTTATATTATGCCCTACATTTTTTGCCCAGATAATCATTGATCCCTTTACTATTTCCTCTTCTAATTCCACTTCCAACAAATAGTTATACATTCTAGTTATAAATTTGATCTCCTTGCCTTTCAAAATTTGATCCAGTTGTTGTAAGTCCTTTTCTATCCCTTGTTCTTCCAAGTCTTTCCTAAATTTTGTCTGAATTTGTAAGTATGACCACCAATCTATAATTATATCTTGTTCTTTTAATTTATCAATCATTTTTAACTTCCCCTGATTAACTAATAGTTCTTCATATCTGACCATTTTGAAATCCACACGTCTTAAAGTTGCCAAGTTTGGAGACCCCTTCTTTAAAAGATTGGCTATATTCTATAATGGCTTTTTCCGCTTAAAATGCTGATGTGTCTTAGTTTAAATGCTGAGCCTTTTCTCCAGCACGGTGATTGGAGAATCCATGGATGGGTTGACACATGTCTTTTTGCCCGGAGACTGAGCCCAACTGTTTTTTTCTCTTCCTAGATAGATGTATGCAAAGCTGGCCTCTTTTATGTCAGAATTGTCACATTTTCCAATGACACTGCATGGATAAATACAATTAAATCAGTCCAATACACTGATAACCCTGGTTTGTCTTTTAGCCACCATCAAAGAACAGAAGAGAAAGAACAGAGTTAAAGCCGGATTTCTTTGACCCAGCATCAATCATGGATGAATCTGTAAGTAGGATGTGACAAGTTTGGGTGAATTGCGGTTTCTTTCCTCAGTGGAGAATCGTATGTGACCCTTCTAAGTGGAGTGGGAAATTAGGCCCTGCTATGGTGGCTGGTGTGGTTGAGAATCCTTATGAATAATTTTGAATTATCTCTGCATCTGAAAATGAGCAGAGAGCCTTCATCTTTCTTCTGAGACTAGGGAAGCAATGATAATGACAGGAGATGAATTCCTTTGCAGCCTTTCCCAAAGTCCAAGGCTTGACTCATAAGGGCCCCAAACTTGGATGACTACCTTAGCATAAAATTACCATATCAAAGACTGTAATTAAAATAGGCACGAGATTGTAACATCACTAAAAACTTGCTCTAGAGACTATACATTCCAGTAAAAGGCCATGTTGTTATTTATTTGATTCTGCTATTAATGTGTGCCCCCCCCCCAAAAAAAAAAAAAAAAACCCCACAAGGTTTGTTCTGTTCATATTTGCCTGGGTCTCAGGTACAGATAGTCCTTGACTTTTAGGACCACAGTTGGGACCAGAATTTCCATTGTTGTTATAAGTGAAACACGGCTCCTCCTTCCCTATGGTTGTTAAGCAAACAAGTTTTTCAGCCTTGGTGTAACTTTTCAAAACTTCCTCAGGTTCCTCACGTGATACAATATGGAAGAAAGAAATTCTGTGCATAAATTGGAAATATATATAGTGTCCTTATATGCCACCACATGAGGGCAGCATACGTTAAACATGATTGAGCAAGTCTTGTGGTTCTTCTGTTGTTATAAGTGTTGGGGTTTTCTTTTTTTAAAAAAAAAATCAGAACAAAGTAGCCATGTTCTGAAGCTCTTTCAAAATAACTTAGATGTCCCAGATTTAAAACTGTCCTTAGAATGGTGGAATTAACATGGTCTGAGAAGAAACAGGGACATTTGGAAGGTTTCTAGCTTCCATCACTGATTTCTCCTTGAAAATTAGTCATTTGAACGATAAATGTTTTGAGCATATTCTAAAAGTATTTTCACTCTTTGACAAAAACCTTACCGTTTAACCTTTTTCTCTTTTCTTCTAGGTTCTCGGGGTATCAATGTTTTAATAGTAGTTCAGCAAATAACTCCGTGGTAAAGTCATTTTCTACTGTGGAAGAGGAGATTTTTAAATTAAAAAAGTGTAGATAACAGTGATATTCTGAACAAGATTTTTTTCTCTAAGGAGAATTGATGTGCTTACAGGATCCAGTGCATTGAAGGGGGCAGTTTTCTTTGCCTGGAACAATAAAGGACAAGTAAACGACTTGAGGATAAGCTATTGTTTCTGTTGGGAAACCAGTATTTTATTTATACAATGTTTAGTTTATTTCCAACTCATAGTATAAATATCACTTAAAAAAAATAATCCTAGCATCAAAGAGGTGCTTAGTGTACGCACTTCTGTCATTGTTGAACATACTCAAGCAATTATATATATATATATTTTCTAGATTATCATTGAAAGCATCAGGTGAAAATAAAATGGGACGATTTGATTTTGAAGTTTGGAAATCTGTGTAATTAGATGAAAGAAAAGCATTTTTAATGTGATATTTAAATTCTGGTCAACCAAAACTTTACTTTTGGTTGTGATAATCATGGAAATAAATTACAAGTGATTTTTTTAAAATTCAGAAATTATTATAGAATATTAAAAAAAGAAAAAAGAAACAACACACACCAAGGCTTCCTTTACATATTCATGAAACATTTAAGAATCATAAATGCCAGAAAGCACTGATATCATTTCAGCTTACCCATCTCTAACCCTAAGAGTTTGCTTGTCCTTTAAGAAAAGCAAATGTAATATTGTGAGATTCCTTCCAGTAGTGCCACTGTATTTTGTCTCCAAATAAAGAAGCTTATTGTAGTATGTTTGCAGAAAAAAAAATTCTAAACAAAAATATACAGCTTATTAGAGTGTGGGAATAGGGGTCTAAATTTTAAATAAAAAAGTATAAATATATATATATATATAAAAAAAATTGGTGCTGATTTTATAATTGCGCAGTTTTAGTTTTTTCTTACTTTTAAATTCCAACTTAAAAATTATGAGGTTTCAGAAATATATTGAAAGTTTAACAATGTTTAAAAATAGATTTAAGCATGAGAATTCATGCTTTAAAATGATTTTTAAATTTGTATTTTATATTGTTTTATCTATCTCTGTCTTTGCAAGCAGTCTTCAGGTTAATGATACTTCTAACAGGTTACAGGACATTTCTTCTGTATGTAAATTGAATTGGGTGATAGAACTTCATCAGTATCCCATCATATTCTTTGAAAGCTAAGCTTTAAATGAATTTCATTGTTTTTTTTTTCCCCACAGTTAAATTAAAAAAAAATTTAAAACCCATGGATTTATGTCATTTCAACATGATTCATTTTCAACCATGCTTAGGCAGCTAGACGACATTTAAAGGAAATATTAACTTATAACACAAATGTATATTTTTGTCAGTTGTCTCTCAGTTCTTGAGGTATATTATTTCTAATCATTCCATTCGCCTTAATATGCTTGCAATATGATAATTTCTTCAAATAAGCAAATAGAAGAACCTCTTAGACAAAAGGAAAAAAAATAAAGCTTGGGCTGTGGTAGCCATAAACCATAGATTCTCTAAAGGATCCTGATAACATAATTATTTTGAAAATCATGATGTAATACACAGAGCCAGTTTTGCATAACTCCATTTTGCATAAATATTCACATGTCTAAAATACTGCCTATATTTCTTTCTTTCTTTTCCTTCTTTACACCACTGCGTTTAAATAGAACTGCTGAGAGGACTGTATATATGATTTTGTTGATTTTTTTTCTTACTCTTGAAGGAGTTTCTTTGTGAAAGCAGTTCTTACAGCTTTACGTTTTCCAGACTAAAAATGTTTTATATATTTACCTTAACCTGTTGTCCTCCACATTTTATCGTCCTAATTGTACTGTTTTCTGATTTGTATTTATGTCTTGAGACAAGTAACTTTTTGAATAAAAATAAACCTACAGTATGTTGTAAGTTTGATCTTTTTGAATCAAAAGGTAGAGGAAGAAAATAAAAAGAGTGTGAATGGTATAAAAAAAATGTTATGTTTATAAGAATTAAAGCTTTTTCCATGTCTTTTAAGTGTTTGTCTCAGAATTGGGATAATGTATGGAAAACTGCACTGTTTTATATTTGTAATAAATTGTACAAGTTTTTAAAATGTGAATAAAGCACTAATTGGGTTAATAATTTAAAGTAGAGATGTTATGCGATATGATTGGTCTTAACTATTTCTTCAGTTGGGAAAAGTTGGTCTCTCCCCCATTCTTGTCTCCATGTATATATTTAATACACTCAGTAACAAGTGGGCAATGCAGGCTGTTTAGATAGAACTGACACTTTTAAAGACCTGATCTCAAATTCTTTTTAACACGTGTATGTATGCAGTGGACACATTCCCACAAAATTTAACCATTAACACTGTCCCTCCTTTTCCTGGAATGAGATCGACAGCAAATTTCTCCTTCATTCTAGGCTGGATCTCTTTTCGATTAGCTTCCATCCATTACTTCCTGTCCTGCCCTCAGGTGCTTTGGAAAATGGGTGGGCCACACCTTCTCTGCAACAGCCCCTCAGATACTGGAAGACTGCTGTCATGTCCCTAGTTCTAATAAGTCTGTGTGTGTCTGTGTGTATTCCTGCTGAGAACTGAAGAGGGCAGGTTGAAGACAGCCTGCCCTAGAGAAATTGCTGTCACGGGTATTTCTCAGATACAGCTAGCAGGGGGGTGGGGCATTCAGACAAACGAGAATACAAAATCTACCCAGACAATGCTTTCCCTATCCCCAGGTGTTTCACTTATAACACCCTTAAAATGTTTAGGATAGAAATAGACAACAGGGCACCCGTGTATAGGCAGTCCTTAATATATAACCATTGAGCAACATGCTATAACGGCCCTAAAAAAATGATGTTATCTAATTGGGTAATGAAATGTCTGCCAAGAAAACCCATCAAGTTCGGAGAGCACCAAAGATCCCACAGTAGTCGCGTCCTTTTCCATTCCACACACCCCAGTCCCTTCTAGCGCTGATGTTATCTAGTTGGGTAATGAAATGTCTGCAAGAAAACAACCAAGTTCAGAGAGCACCAAGGACCCCACAATCCTCATTCCATTCCATACCCTCCCACTTCCTTCTAGCACTGATGCTGTTACCTAGTTGGGTCATGAAACATCTGCAAGAAAACAACCAATCTCAAGACAGCACCAACTTTATGTTTCGAATATTCTCATTGGCAAAATAATCATGCTGAATGGCTATTTTTATCTGGGGTTGGATTCAGGCCCAAAGAACAAAAAACAAAACAAAAATACAGTAAATATTTTGATTCCTTTTCCCTTCCTAGTTCTAATCCTTGGATTTCACATCCTACGCACACTTTCCTCCCCTTATGACAGTTTTCATTTGCACAAATTAATACCTCAATAAACAACAGGCCAGGAAAAGTGGAAAACAAGTGTGGAAAATATGGGCAAGTTTTAGTTTCCTTTCTGGCAACCTGCAAAACAAGGAACTATATTTAATTGCACGTCAATAATAAACATTGCTTTAAAAAAAATCCCAATAAAGGAATAGTTTTGTCAGTTGCTTTAATTTTGAGAATGCTGTATTACTGGCAACAAGCAGGCCTGGCTTTTTAATGATTCTGTTACGTTACTAAAAAAAAAATGGAAATAAAAGCGGGGAGACCTCAGGAAATGATTGTTTAAAGCAGATTGGAAGAAAAGTTGAACAGGAATTTCCTCCCTGAGAGGAAGGTATGTTGTCGGAGGGAAAATGCAAATATTATTCAGCACACACAGGCCACGGGAAGCAGGAAGTCGATGAGGGAAAGGTCTGATATAGTCTGGCATGCAAACAGGAGAGGACACACATTTTGCTTATTAGTAATGTTTTTCTTTCCAATGCCAGGATAAATCACAAATCCATGCTGCTGCAGGAATTTTGCAAAGCACTTTGATCCACGGTCCGCCTCTGGCTTGATAGAAAACAAATTTCCTTTCGCTTCTCTCAACCCTCCTTCTACCCTTCGATGCAAAAAAGCTTTATTGAATTGTTCACAACAGATTTAACAAGAGTTGGAAGGAAATTTATAGGCTGGGGGGGGGTGTCCGTGGTCTGGATGCGACCGCGGGGTGTTTAAATCTGGCCCACGGGGCCAACCTGGAAACAACAAAGGACAGGCTCACGGGACCTTCCCAAACTCCGTTTTCAGTGGCAGAGAGTTGCCATTGCAGCCGAAAACAGCTCGGGAGCCCATTTTTGCTGATAGAGCACTGGGGCCATCAGAGGCGCCCCCAACATGAGTGACGTCGAGCTGACCATACCCCCTGGCCACACACACCCCAGCCCCCCCCCCCCCAGGTCAAACACAACCCTGATGCGGCCCTCAACAAAATTGGGTTTTTGATCTTGTGACCAAAACCAGATGCAGTATTCAAGTTTGATCAGACTAAGGCTTTGTAAAGCTATACTAATACTTCATGTGATCTCGATTCTATTCCTCTATTGAGGCAGCCTAGGATTGCGTGGGTTTCATCCTCCAAGAAAATGTTAAAAGTCGCCCAGGAATGCAGTAGAAAAAGAAGAAGCGGCATTTGAAAACTCACAAGGAGCTGTTCGTCACTAAGGCAAATTTAGGTAAAATATATCCGAATACCCTTACTTTTTAAGACTGGGATGCTTGTATTGCCAGTTCCTCCTGAAGTCAAAAAGTGTACCCAATTGCCAGATCAAACTCATCCATAAAGCAAATGGTAGAAACTCATGAGGGAGCAGCATCTTTTTGCAAACACATGAAGGGAGCTATCTCTGTGTTCTGCTTCTGGGCAAACCTGCAAATTTGCCCTGACAGCCTCCTGACAGTTGTCAAAATCATTTCATTCCAGCTTGGATTTAACTGCTTAAAACAAATATAGCCTTTTTCTTTTCTTTTTTAATGCTGACTTGAATTTTTATATAGGAGTGTGCCTTTAGGAGAATTCCGATGCTATGTGTTTTAGATGCAGCCTCAGTCCATTGAGTGAAGGAAGAGAGAAACCTCTGGCTGATTTAGGATACAACAGTCATAAAAATAAAGAGGACAATGAAATTGTGAGAGATTCAGAGACTTTCCAGCACTTCGATTTCCCCCCTTTTAATTTACTCACATGAATCCCCCCACACCCCGGTTCTATAAATGCATATCTTTTCCTTGTTTAGATCCAGTTGTAATTCTCCAAAGAACTGAATCTTGGCCATTGTCATTATACTCATAGGAAGGGTTTTTTTAAAAAAAGCATTAAAAAGTAGGTGTTTTTTTAAAAAAACAGTAAGAGAGAGACACTTAGGTCTAGTGGTTAAGGCGCTAGGCTAAAACACGAGTTCTAGTCTTGCCTCAGGCATGAAAGTAGATTAGATAAATCACCAGGAGCCAATTTGCATTTCTAGGCAATTTGGGCTAATCACCAGTTCGAGTTCCACTTTAAACATGAAAGCCAGCTGGGTGACTTTGAGTCAATCACCAGGAGACAATGAATTCTAGTTCCACTTTAGGCATGAAAGCCAGCTGGGGTGACTTTGGGCCAGTCACTTTTTTCTTACTTTACAGTGCTTTTACAGCCCTCTCTAAGCAGTTTATAGAGTCAGCCTATTGCTCCCAACAATCTGGATCCTCATTATACTGACCTTGGAAGGATGGAAGGCTGAGTCAACCTTGAGCCTGGTGAGATTCGAACTGTCAAATTGCAGGCAGCCGGCAGGCAGCAGAAGTAGCCTACGGTACTTGCACTCTAACCACTGCGCCACCGTGGCTCACCATGGATATGTTCTGCACTTTTGAGTTATTTATAAAAATAATAAAGGTGGGATACAAATAAATAAGCTGAATAAAGATTTTAAAAGTCCAAAATGCAATCACATCAACCCAGGGGATCTGAACCGTGCAGTTCCCATATAAGATTACATGGGGTTTCAGACTATTATGGATGATTGCTCAAGAATGAGAAATGTTCACAGTGGCTCTTGGTGGGATGTTCTCATCTGTTTGTGTAATGACACAGCTCCTGAAAAGTACCCACAAAGGTTTACCCCGTTTTCCTAAAAATACGACCTACCCTGAAAGTAAGTCCTAGCTTGATTTTTACACGTGCACCCAATATAAGTCCTACCCCCAAAATAAGCCCTAATTAAGTTCCCACCCACACCAGAGTGGATGAGTAAAAATTAATCTAGAGTGGGGATGTGGGGTGTGTGTGGAGCTGCCCTACTATTTACCTTTGGACAGTTGTAGCTAGGCTCCGCACACCCCGACACCTGCCTTGCCGGCCCATTCCTTCTGCAGCCGGCAAGGCTGGCAAGGCTTTCCTGTAACTGATAAGAAAGCTCAGGATCTATCCAGAGCTCTGTTATCAGCTGCAAGAAAGCCTTGCCAGCCATAGAAGAAGAAGTTCCTGAAGGCCTCTGACAGCAAAAAGGAGGCCAGAGGCAACGCACACAAGTGAGGTTAGTTAGTGGATGGCATCCCCCAAAAATAAGACCTGGTGCCTTTTTTGGTGGCAAAAAATAAAATAAAATAAGACAGGGTCTTATTTTCAGGAAAACATGGGTAGTATAGCCACCAACATAAGTTATATATTGATTGCTTTGTAGGAGTCAGTATTGCTATCTCTGTGGAATAAACCTGACATATGAACACCGATCGCTGCTCTGCGTGTGAGGAAGTCAAACGCTACAAGCTTCAGTGCCAACTCCCGAATCCTTCACAATCCTAAGAATTTCCAGGCTCAGTTGGCCGTAACAGGGACCTACATTTGGAAACTTGACAAGGATTGTCATCCCTCTGAAATAACACCAGCAAACAATGGAAGTTGAGAGAGTTTTGTTGACAATGGGAATGGCACAGAATGGTGACATTTTCCAGATCATAAAAATGCTCTCAAGTTGCTATCTGTGTCTTATCCAAGGTCACCAGCATAGAAGGATGAAACTAGAGGTTTAAAGAAGCTGAAAATGCTTAGAAAGCAAGTCTTGACTATACAA